TATCGAGCCCTAACCGCCAAAATAACGTAAGCAACATATTTTTAAAATTTTTTTTTGTTGCAGAAATATTCCTAGACCATCTAGATGCAAAATTCATTTAAAAAAAATTCAGTGCAATTTAAAACAAAAGTATGGGCACCAAATGAAATAATTTTTTTGGGTTCATAAGGACGAATAGGAATTGAAAATGCCCTTTTAATCTATTTTATTTTTTTAAGCTAATAAAGTTTGTCCTTAAAAAACTGCATACTCAAAAAAATTCTAAAAAATCTGATTAAAAAGTTGAATATTTTGATGAAAATTTGCCGAATATTGGCGAGTTTTGCACAAAGTTTAGAAATTATATTTTTATGTTTTTTGTTGTTGAATGAACCATATTTTATACAAAATTGGCGGAAAAATATTAGAATAAAAATTGTTGTATATATTGTGAAAAATTTGCTGCGCCAATACTTTGTTCCGGCAGTGTATATTCACTGAAATGTTTAAATCCTGACGTCAGAGAGAAAAATTAAGAACGCAATTTTACTATATTTGGCCCTTGGTTAGGCGAATGTATTATTTTTTTTTGTGTGCGAAATTGCCAGCCGCAAGGTGTTATATCGTCGCCTGGGTAAAATATTCTCGTAAGCGTCATACGTACGTGCGTAACATACGACAATCTTTTACCCAGGCGACGATATGTATGTATATTGAGCTACACATTTAAAAAAAAATGTTAAATATTAAAAAAACAAAAGAAATATAGCCAAAACTGTTCAACATAAAGCGTTTCTATTATTGCCACCAGGGTAAGTTACATATCCCGGAAATCCCGGGATTCAAGGCAAATAATCCCGGGATCTTAAAATGACCGGGATTCCGGGATTAACATACCTAATACATACATGCCACACAAATGCATCAAATGTGTAACAACTCGAAATTTGCAGTTTTTGATATGCTGTACTAAGCAAATGTTCACAGTTTACACCAGGGATGGAAAAGTATGTACAATTGGGTTATTTTCCGCCCCTTGAAATCAACCCGGCACTTTGGGCACAATCGGCAAATTTTTGACACTTTTTGATTGAGACTGTACCTGTTTTATTTTTGTATACAGTTACATATCGTCGTCAGTGTTGCCAGAACTTTTTTCTGAAAAGAGGCCAAATGGGCAAAGAAAAAGCTAAATTAACAATTAAATTTTTTTTCGTTATTATTACTTCATGAAACTTATTTTATACTTAAGTAAATATTTTTCGTAGCTTCACAAAATTTAGGCTGCTTAAGACGAAGTTTTGATTCCACCTCATTGTTCTGTAAACAGTGACGGTTCGGTGTTATATTTACCAATACTTTAGTATTTCCCCAATAAACTTACCAAAGAAAAAATACTCCCACCATTTATCTGGTGAGTACAACTCGAGGGTACCTTTCATTATCATTATCATTATGGCCGGGCACCCAAATGAGTCTGAGCGAGGAAATGATGCTGACGTCCTGCATAAAAGAACCATCCTCCAACACTTCCATCAGGCTTCCACCCATCCGTGTAGAAATTCACCGGTGTCGTCTTGCAACTACTGTTTCCCGTTCGCTCATTGCTAAAGTGATGTGAGTGTCGAAAGAGCCCAAAAACCAGTCTATTTACGCAGAAATCGGATAAAGTCGAAGCCTCAGAAGCCTTTCTTTGTTTTTTCTGACGAGGAAAAATACAAGTTTGTAGTTAATATTTTAAGCAAAAGTAAAAGGCTAAAAAAGCTAAATAATAAAAAATAGAAGAAAAAAGCTAAAAGCTAAACATGATTTTTTGCCTAGAGGAAAGATGAGATTAATTATTAATTGTCTACAAATTACAATCATAAAGATAGTTGTTTTGTTAAGAGGCCAAAACTAGTCTTAAAACTGAAATAATTCTAATACTAAATAAGTGATTTGTAATAAAAATGGTCCATGTATAATATTGGGTAGGGCAATTGCGTTATGAGAGTATCATAAAATTTCGGCCCAATCGGTGTATGTACATAGTAATAGTAATAAGAGCGGGAAGAAATATTTGACACTATCTTATTTAAAAATTTTCCTTTCAAAGTTTCTGCAAGATAGCCGAATGCCCGGAAAATAAAGCGAAAAAGCTGTTTTATTCAAGGCTTCGGAGCAAAGGTTTTTTTCTTCGCTCCACTCTAGCTCCGCTGCGATTTCGCTCTGAGCTCCGCTCTTAGCTCTGTTCCCGTTCCCAATAAAAAAACTTTATTTATTTATTTATTACTTAAATATCGAGCCCTAGCCGTCAAAAAAATTAGCCAGCATTTTGTCTTGTAAATAAATAAGGCAGATATTAACCCAGCCAGCAAAAAATCTGAAAATGGATCCGTAAAAGGAAAAAAGGCAGAAACAATGTATGTAAATGCAGCCAAGAACCGAAAATTGTTTTGAAACGGATATTTTTTTTGCTGTTATTCTGAAATTTTTCTTATTGAATTTTTCGTTCGGTACGATTTTCTTCTGCACTTCACAAATGCTTTTTCATGGTTCGAAAACCAAAAATAAATAAGGAAGCGCCTGACGCCATTCCAACCCGATACCTTCAACTTCAGCAATACTGGTACAACCTCTGCACGCTCAGCCACTACCGTTTAAGTGTATATGCTTTCAAATGTTCAGCTTGAACATATAACATACAATTATTGCTTTCAAATAATAGCAGCGTTCCAGATGCTTCACGATTTGCAGGTTTTTACAGGAAGTCGTTCCAGGTGGCCACCTTCAATAAGGTTTATTAATGGAGAAAGCAGCTGTTCCTGCAAATCGTGAATATTGTGAATATCGTAAAGCATCTGGAACGCAACTAATATCATCATTTTCGAACGTCTTCCGGATGCGAAAATGAATCAAAATTTTTGTCGATTTCTATTCATTTCCGGATATGAAAACCGTACTTTTTTGAACGTTTTTGGATACGTAAATGAAAGAAAATTGTAGTCGCTTTCCGTTCGTTTCCGGATACGAGTAATTGTACGAGATCGCACTGCCGGCAAAATACACGTTTCTCTGCTGGGTGGGAAGTCACTAGGGCTGTTCACGATATTGTGGAAATGGTCTTGGATTTGCAATAGGAATTGCAATTGCAAATTTTATGCTTGCTACCATGGCAACGATTTGTATTTTATTGTTGTGAATTTACAAATGCACCTAAATATGCAAGTGCAAGATCATATGCACAAGATCCTGAACAGCCCTAATTTTGTTCATCGCCGTTTAAATTGACGTGGAAATTATCCCTAACTGCTGGGTATTGTGCAATGCACAGTATTGTCAAGTAAAAATAGAATGAAAATTTATTTATCACGATTGTTTTCTGTGGCAAAAATTCAAATAAAAAACTAAGTTAAATAAAATTTTCTTTAAGGAGCTATTTTAGCTCTTTGCTCCAGCTCCGCTCCAGCCAAAATCCTTTGCTCCTTGCTCCTTTGCTCCGATCCGCTCCGCTCCAAAGCTCTGGTTTTATTACTTCACCTGTATATAATTTCACCATGGTGCACCAAACTTCTGTGTCTTTACAGAGTATGTAAAATAATTTTTAAAAACTAAAGTTCTTATGCTCGAAGTTTCTTGAAAATTCTGGGATTTAATAAACACTGAAACTAATTTATTGATGTAGAAGTTGTTTTTAAATTATATTTGGCCTACAGTGAGTAATCTACCGACCTTTGAACAAAGCTGAATTTCAAAAGAAAATGAGTTAGGGCTTTTCTATATTAAGGTAACAAAATGCATTTTCGACAAACGTGTGCGATATATGTATATGGAAATCAAATATAAAAAAGATATGTATAATGCTAACTTTATGACCTAGAACGCTTTACAGGTGCATTAGTTTACATGCACTTGCCTATTTTTGCACAATATATTTATTTTTTATTATATATAAATTGACATTGATTTATATGTACATATGTACATACATGCGTCCATATACATACATACTATATACTATGTATAACACATTAACGAACAAACGAACAAGCGCAAATTAATTGACCGCCTTCTATAATTCACACCTCGTATAATGCTCTTTTACAAGTACCCTGCAGGAAATGGGACTAGTTTGTAACTAATTATTAACTAACTAACAGTCGACTAGTGGTAACAATTTATTAACTATTTCCTTTGGCCGTAACTAACTACTTTCGAAGGGCGATGGCCCAAAATTGTGATATCTGGTTTGCTCTGCATTAGATGTCAACTAACTTGTAGCTTTCTACTTTTGGACATAAAATATCAATAAAAAAATATATATATTTTTTTTGTTTACATATTCTGCTGTAGGTGGTCCCATATTCGAACACCGTCAGACATAACTTCAAAAAGATAAAGTAAAATTTCGATCTGAATACGAAAAATAATCTGCGAAGTTCAGAAAAAAAGTGTATTGAAAGTAATCTTTGTGAGGATATTTAAAAAGAAACTTGTAAAGAAATCAAAATTCCGATAACGTGCGCATGACTCTTGCACGACTTTACAACTAACTTAAAGTTATTTTTGTCATACCTAATTAAAAGTTAGTTATTTATCGAACTCCCGCAAAAAAACTAACTAGAAGTTGGTTATTTTAAACAATTGATAGTTTTTTTTTCTGCAGGGAGGATATTTAAATGGAAGCTTGTAAAGAAAACAAACTCCCGATAACGTCTGCATGACTCCGGTACGACTTTACAACTAAATTAAAGTTAGTTTTGCCATGCCTAATTAGAAGTTAGTTATTTATTGAAATCCCGCAAAAAAGCTAACTATAAGTTGGTTATTTTGATCAATTGATATTTTTTCCTGCAGGGTACTTATGCCGTTTCTACAAAAAATGTTGCCTTCTCATTACCCTTTTCTTAGTATTTTTGCGTAGAGAACAAAGAGAAAATAACATTTTTCGGTAGAAACGAAAACGCTATTAGCTTACTAAAAACAATTATCTCAGAAGAATTCTTGCGCTTAACAAACATTTATTTCTTTGTCTCTTTCAGACAAGTAATTTTCTTTTTTTACTCCTGCCGCCACTTTTGATATATTTATTCAAGGAGTATGGTCGCTTCGTAACACCCGGCATACACGTACTCTGGGTACTTCTTATAATAGTGGGTTTAAGCTCAATGTACTTCCATGCAACGCTCAGTTTAATAGGTCAATTACTTGATGAGCTGGCGATTTTATGGGTATTCATGGCTGCCTATTCATTGTTCTTCCCAAAAAAGTATTATCCAAAGGTCTTCCGCAATAACCGGTAAGTCGATTCAATAATAAATAATAGCCATTAGTAAGGCTCGGCATCTCATGAAAATGCATGTTTTTACTAGTCATCTTCAAATGGAAATGGTTAAGTTAGCTTACGTATCATGAAATTTCCTTTGAAATGGCATACAATAGTTAGTGCATATGTACGCATAATTTGCAGTAAATGCATGGTTTTGCATATTTTTCAAAAAATACCTGTTTTTTCACATTTATTGCGCATATTTTAGTATATTTTACAATAAATGCGTATGGTTTTTGCATATCTTTCCTTTTTTAATTTACAACCATTTAAATTTTCTGCGAAATCTCTTGACAAAAAAAAATACCATATATTTTTCCATAGACCCTTTCTGGTACGTCAAGTCTTGATTTCAAGTCTGCTCGGTTCGTAGCGAAGGAGGTGAGAAGAGAGGGGAAGAGCACATTAGTCTCACTTCCTTCGCCTACTTACTAACAGCACACTTAAAATCAAGACTTGACGTGTCTGAAAGGAGTAAAATATTCATCTGAATATCTTCCCGGATAGCCAGGCGGCCATTGAGGCCTCTGTTAGATCTCAACTAATGGAGAACTTATTTTCGATTTTTTAGTGCATGAGATTCCGAGTCCTACTTATTAGTTATAGCAGAACTTTTGTATAGTATGTATGTGTTTTAATAGATTAGCTTAAATAAACTTGTATTTGAATATTTTGGCCTGGGCCTATACATAAGTATACATTATGCATTTAATTTTTTCTTATAGGAAATTATTCAGTTCATTTATGTTTCTTTCGGCAATCTTTGCGACAGTGCTGTCAATTTGGAAACCCATAGTTAACGCGTTTGTACTGATGGGTATGGGCGTGCCAACAATGCTAATGATGTATCGACAGTTACAAAGGTAAACATGCTTTTTATTTCATTAATCACACATACACTTCTTAGTGAATACAGTTGAAATCAATATTGGGAACACAATACGCAGAGGTACATTCTTACTCGTATATAAACCACGGTATCGGTATTATCTATAGCACCCCCATTTCGAAGTTACTTTTTTTTTAAGAATTTCAATTTTGGCGTGAGAGATTAATTGAATTGTATACTGCGAACAGAATACATCATTCAGGAACTCATTACGCTTCTGCTGTTAACTAAAAGAGAAATGCATAAGAACCAGAATCCTGGAAATTATACCAGAGATATTCCTGTAGAGGATATTGCTAACGAAGCAGCCGACGTTATTCCGATATATGCATATGTGCATTAGGGTGGTCCAAAAAGAGTAAAGTCGGAACTTAAATGCTCTCACCCACTAGAATTGTTCTATATCGAAAATACTCCTATTTTTGTATTATGAAATCTAAAAATATTTAGAGGTCGCTCAAAGCGCTCAAAGTTTTCCTTGTATTTTATATGGGGAAAAAACAAATTTTCGTAGAAATGTCTTAAAATTCTTGAAAATAAATATTTTTCGATCGGAAAACTCATTTTACCTTCAGAAGACTTTCACTAGTAATACCCAATTGTTTATTTAACCATTTTTTTATAGTTAGTTTAGTTAGTTAGTTGATGTTTCTTTATTCAATTGTGTACTTTACAAAGACATTACATAAGTAAGTGTATCTTAAGAGCTAAATACTGATTGCAAATTTTAAATACATTATTCCATTTTTTAATACATACTAACGATTTTTTATTGGTCCCCCCATTTCTACGAAAAGTTGTTTTTTCCATATAAAATACATGGAAAACTTTGACCTACAAAAATTTTTTGATTTCAAAATAAACATTTGATTATATTTCTTTTCGGTATAAAAGAATCCTAGGGGTGAAAGCATAAAAATTCCGACTTTACTTACATGCATTTTTGGACTACCCTAGTATACATGCATGAGGGTGTCCCAGAACATAAGGGATGAGTTTTTTTCTGCGAAATTCGATGCGCATACCCTCTAAACTTTTTCCTTTTGACCTAAATAACATACATACATATATGAGTATGTATCAATATGCTATGTATTTTGAACAGAAATTGTCAAAAAATGGCAAAAACCGTGGCAAGGTAAAACTTTTTCGCAGTTTTTGCTAATTTTTTACAATAAACAATTTTATGTTTAAAAAACCTTCCATATAAGAAATGTGGGAAATTAAATTCTCTACATATTTGTATTTAACCATTTTTTTACGAAAAATGCAAAATAAGCTTGAAAATCGAAAAAAACCAAAAAAAATTGAATCCAAGATGGCGGAATGTTGCCAAATTAAATTTAGGGGCAAGACTGTGGATCCATGATCTACGTGTCAAATAGAAGTAAACTGCATCAAAAAATTGCTGTTACAAATTTTTTTTAAGAAAAAGTCTAATTTTACTGGGCTAAAAGCTAAAAACTGACTTTAGTTTATTGCTCACAAAAATTGACAGCGTTTAATTTTTCTCCAGCTCTCTTAACAATTTCTATATGTACCCATAGAGTCAATGCCCCGAGGCGCAAATAATTTTATCCAAATAATAAGCACAAATCCAAACAAGAAGTGTTGCGCAGTTAATTCAACATTTTAATGGTAATCCCGCATAAGTGCTCGCAATGTTGTCCTCAGAAATTCCTCAAAATCTGTAACTAGTGGAGGAGAAAGTGGGGATTCTATCTCGATGCAACATCGAATGGATCAAAATGCAGCATTTATATGGAAAATATATGTTTTTTTGATTTCAATTCTTTCAGAACAGAAAGCCATGCACTTATTAGACGTCTTAGCAATAATATTATAACAAAAAACAATAATATGCACTAAATTTAGCAGTTGTTTCTAAAATATGCAAAAAAATCATTTACTGCGAAATATGCCGAAATATGCTCTTAAAAATATGGCATAAAACGCTTTATCTTTTTACAAATAGCATTTCCTTTTTATGCATTTTTTGATAAAGTATAAGAAAAAAAAACATGCTCGAGCATATTTTTGGTTGCCCTAGTAATTTGTTATGACGATATGTATTTAGCAAGATGTGAAAAATCCGGTTTTTGCAAAAAAATTAAATTCTATTGCGGATTCCGATATATATATCCTATCCAGAAATATTAATATTAAAATATGCGTTCTTCTAAACTTTAGTCCTGCAATTGCCACGCTAGGGGTTTGTCGTCTTACAGAAAAATCCCTAATTTACTTGTCTTAGCAATGCAAATCAACTTCAAAAAGCTCAACTGTTAATAGCTAAGTTAGCTTTAGGACAATCATGACCATTTTATATATAGCAATGCTAAGCCCGTTTTTTAGCTTTAAAACGACGTTGAGATGATAGAGACTACGATGAGCAGACACGAGATATAACGACTTCAAGAAGTACATGATTAGTTAAAATCACGAAAAAATCCAAAGTTTGACAGATCATATCTCCGAAGAAAAAAATTTCCTCGAATACGTGTTAGCTTGTTTCATGTATAGATGCCGATAACGCGTGCCGACTGGAAGTTGAAGTTTTGGTTCAGAAATTTCAGATATTGTAAAAAGATATTGTGTTATGAAATTATAAGTAAAAAATAGTAGTTCATTAATTAAGGTGTATTGTTCTCTCGAAAGCCCTCATAAGTCTTTTAATTGTCCACGTTTCTGCGCCAAATGCATACCCAGCGCGTAATAGCACCTGCAGATCACAGTTATTTTCATCTTTTGATCTCCGGTCAGAACTTATTGGCGGTGTTAATGCTGGATCCTATAGAAATTCCTTCACTATCTGTCTGTTCTTAGAAGAATTAATTGAAGTATCGGCAAGAACCAATGAGAAGATAATTTTATTATACAACCTATACCGACAAACTTTGTCTTCAAAATAACATATATATGGTGAGAACAAGCCTTAAAGAAGTTTATTTATTTTTATTATATACAGACATGGACGCCTATCCAAAATTAGTGGAAAAGGTCGGTCAACATAGTACTTAGCAAAAGTGTGTGCGTCAAATATTTGTAGAATATATGTATGTATTTATGGTGAAATAGCTGATGGAAATTTTTAAGCCGTTATTTTCAATTTTATTTTGTGTTTGGATTATGACTTCTTCCCAGCGAATGAGTGAGCGATAATGTATCAATAATCCCAACTAAAAATCTACAAGCCCGGATCATAGTACAAAATTTCTTGTGATAATTATTTCCGTTAATAAAATAACTATGAGGACGAATATGATACACTTTTTTTGTTATACAAATACGTATCTACCTAGTATGTATAGAAATGTATGTGAGTTTAAGGTAATACAGACATTGAGGCTACTACGCACATATATATTTAGGTGTATTGATAAATCAGTGACTTTTTGAATTTCCGGTGTAGAAAATTTAAATTTTAGGGCACATAATAGCTCTGGTCCAGTACTCCATGAACTTACAGGATTTTACACGAACTTGCAGGAAGTTGCAGGAAAAATGTTCCCGTACTCCGAAATCCTTTAAAACCCTGTAAATGAGAGCGACTTTTGGAGAGTTGTGTAGAGAATGAAGTTGCAAGATTTTACCCGAACTTTTTCTTCTGGTAAAATCATGAAAAGTGTCAAGCAATCACTGGTTGACGTTTTTACAGGAAAAATGGTTTTTTTGTTCCCGTACCTTTTGTTGTTACTCACTTTTTACTCTCACTTCAGAGAGTAATATTGCTATTTGACAGTTTTACAGGATTTTTCACGAAAAGTATTGGATCAGAGCTAATGCCTGATGGCAGTGCTGTTAAAGGCGCTATGACAGGAAAGCTGTTCGAAATGAAACTAAAAGGCAGACCGAGAAACCGTTGGTCAGATGCAGTAGACGAGGACTTAAAGAAGGCGGAAGCTTTGACGCAAACCACATGGTAACTCTATGAATGGTGATGAAATTTAAATACAGCACTGCTGCTGTCAATTAATGTCTGTTAATACAGTACTGTCAAACAAGTAGATCCATCTCACCTACCTAAGTCAACTATAAGAAATTTTTGGGAAATTGTGCTTCTTTCTTTTTTTGCTGTGTTTGAAGTCACTTTTGCAAAACTATAAAATTTTACAAAATAAATGTTGGAAGAATTTTGCGCAGAAAAACACATTGAAATTGAAGCCATATTTAAAATAAAAAAGTCTTTACGTTTGACTTAACCACGTTTACAAAATACCATATGGAATAAGTTACTTTTCAAACAAAATTTTCCAAAATTTCTTATGGCAGGTTTGATACGTAGATATCGACTCATATATCACAATCTGCAGTAGCAGAGCACAAAATAATTGGCTGGAAGGGGCTTAAGCTATTTTGATTTATACATACGGCAGGACTTATCCAACTTTCAATAATTAGTTAATATTAGAACGAAATATGACTGAAGATGGCACAACGCCAAAAACCAAATTTGACAAGGGAAACCGGGAAAATCGTTCCACAATACATCATACTGCTATCCTGTCGGAAATACAAACAACCAAAAAGAATTAATATTAGTCGTCTTTTTTACTCTTATCGATATTAGTCACATTGCTGTTTAAACTATTTATTTGTTCGGTCAGTTCATATGTACCGACTCAAATGGTAAGCAAGCTGCGTAATTTAGTTTGTGTTTGACAGCCAATAAAAGCAGGCAGCTTGGTGAATTTCTACGAAAAAACACCTGAATAAATGATTAAAAAAAGTTGGAAAAAAATAAATATGGGACTGTTAGTAAGGAATTTTATTTTAGGGGAACAGAATAAAAAACAGCCCTAACGAATCCGTGAATCTTGCTATTATCCTGTATTTGGGGTTTAAGAAAACGGTTAAAGATTTCGGTTTTATTTTTGGACTACATATATGACCAAACTAAATTTAGTTTCAAATACAAACCTTCCAATTTTAAAAAAAGAGAGCTCATATGTTGGGTTTAGAGTTTAAACAGTTCAGTGTTTAATCGCTATCGATCTGTTTTTGTTTTTGTGCTGTAAAGTTTTTAAAAATGTATTAATCGAGCTCAAATTTCATATTTATTTATTATTTATGTTTGTCAATCAACCCTAAAAATTTTAAACAACGTCCCATACACATAAGCATACTAGTTCAAAATTGGAAAAAATGTGTCAATCCATGTCAAATTGGTAAAAATCGAAATTGAAAAATTTATTTCTTTGAATTTTGGCCAGAACAGCTCTTTTATCCTGTAACGAAGTTCTGCCAAAGGAAAACAAATTTTCTTTTCGAAAGTTCAAAATTTCACAATTTCCCAGATTTTGCAAGTTTATTTTTTGAATATCTCAATGAGTTTCTAAAATGTTTCTGGTGTAAATCTAAATGTGATATTTGGCGCTATATGTATACAAAATATATTAAAAAAGTCAAAAAATAATAAAGTTAAAGAACTTTGAAATTTATGAAATCATAAAAATAAAAACCTGTATGAGGTTTTGGCTATATTTTTTATAAAATGCCTCTAACTGATCTTAGAAGATCTTGAAATTGTGAAAGAGTTTTTTTTTAAGATACACCTTTTTGAACTTAAAAAATATTGTTGCGAACTCTAAATTAAAAATTAATTCACATAAAATAAAAATTGTTTAACATTTTTTTATTTCAAATTTGCAAAAAAAAAAATTATAATTTAAAAAATTCACCTTCTGAAAGTTTCAGTTGAATGATTAGCGTGAGGTGTTACACAAAAAATGTAGCCAAAAATTAATATGTATAAGTTTTTAAATTGTTGTTTTTTTCGCAAAAATTTTCATTAAAAACGGTCTCAAGCTCAATAAAACTGTTGAATATAATTGTTATAGGGCCATAAATAACAAAAACAAATAACTTAAGGACGAGCACACCTTAAAGTTAAACATTCTAAAAATAGAATTACATATTAACAAAAAACCAACAAAACCATCAACCACATAGTCAAGTGTAAATAGCATCGAAATAGTTGCGCTTGATTGCAGTTGGCTTAACACATGAAAAAAATGGAAAAAGAAACAACAGTTTACGTGGCGAACTTAGCTCAGTGGGTAAGACTACTGGCTACCAAATTGTAAATTGTTTTTTGGTTCCAAAATTTTCTTTTTGAAAATAGCCTCAAGCTCAATAAAATTGTTGAATATTATGTTATAAGGCCATAAATAACAAAAACAAATAAGTTTTTGATTTCAAAATTCTGTAAAATTTTTAATTGCAGATATGTTTATTTATGCATGTATCATCATACATCCGTACATAGTTTTCTTTATAGCGCTAAATATCAAGTTAAAAACAAGACCACTTATTAGATTTAGAGATATTTAAGAAATCAACTTACAAAATCTCAGTAATTGTGAAAAAATAATAAAAATAAAAGTTTTTTTTCAAATGAAATCACAATTAAATTTCTAAAGAATTCACAGTTCCCTTCTTAATAAGTATTGCATACATACATACATATACATATATATATATATGTATGGACAAATTGCATATCATTTTCATTCGATTTATATTGTTCGCACTTCTACAGTATTAAATTAACTACTTACCTACATACATAAACATACCTATGTACATACATATGTATGCCGAAAGAAACTGAAGCGTCGCGCGACCTCACAAACGATCATTGCCAATATTGAATGCAATTAATTGACCCTAATTTAATTTATTGCTACTCCTCAATTCAATCAGTAAGGAAATCGGTGCAAACTTTTCTTCTACATATACATTGTAAGTACAGACATATTGACAAACAAATCGAAAGCGCTTTTAATAAGGTAAATATGTACATACATTAGACCGTACCACCTTACAAGCAATTTGTATTTTTATACCCGAGCGTACTTGTGCACAAGGGTATTATAACTTTGTTCCAATAACGGTTGTTTGTAACAGGCAAAACGAATCGAGATAGATATAAACAAATTAAGCGGTGACTGTCTGTCCGTCCGTCCGTCTGTGTATACGATAACTCGAGCAAAAATTTAGATATCTTAACGAAACTTGGTACGTGTAATTCTTTCGGGCGTAGGACAGAAAATGGGCGTAATCGAACAATAACCACTCCTACCTCCCATATAACGGTAGTTTTCAGAAATACAAAAACTGCGATATTTTAGTAACTGACTGAAGATTATTCACTCAAATTTGATATTTACAATAATTTTTAACGAAAAATAAGAATATTATAAATTTTTGGATTACATGTGTATATCTTGGTTACCGATCCACCAATTTCTCTCGAACTTGGCACAGTTATTGCCCTTGGTACAACATACCAAATGGCTGAAAATTTTTAAAATCGGGCAATACCCACGCCCACATCCCATATAATGGTAATTTAGAGAAATACGAAATCTTCGATAAATCAGTAAATACTTAAGCTAATTTATTCAAAATTGATGCTTGCAATAATTCGTTTATGATAAAATTTTGGAAAACGGGCGTGGCACCACCCACTTATTATGATATATATGTATCCCGGTAACCGTTCTACCAATTTGTACCAAACTCGGTATTCGGTATGGTTATTGTGTTTGCCGCATAAAAGAAAAACGTGAAAAATTATTGAAATTGGACTAAAATTACAGCCATTTTTCATATAACGGTAAATTTCAGAAATGCTTTAAACTTCGTTATTTCCGAAATTTAAGGATGCTAACTTAAACAACATTGATACTAACAACAATCCCTTGAAAAGAAGTAACATTATTTTGAATTTTGGAAAATGGGCGTGATATCGCCCACATATGACTGTATAAGTTTATCTCGTTATGTCTAACTGAACGTTCTATCGAAGATGTTTGAACTAGGGATAAAACCACCCCTACTTACCATGTAGCGGTAGTTTTCGGAAAGGTGAAAAGCACATATTTAATACTTGCGCCGGGTATTTAATGTTCGGCTCCGCCCGAACATAGACTTTCTTACTTTTTTTTTTTTTTTTTTTGGCCGAGGGAATAATTTTTTTTTTGGAATACTTCGCTCAACAAACCTCATGCTAGGTATTTTCTTTCATTTCTGTCCCGTCTTTGCAAGGATTACGTATTGTGTTTTTTTTTGGTAGCAATGTTTGAAAGGCGAGCAACTGAGCCTCTTTTACACCCAACAGTTTTGCCTCGATTAACTATGCGTAAAGATTAAAGGGACATGAAAACAGTGCAATAGGCTGCATGTAGCACGCCTTGCTTTGTGAATTTAGTTGCGACAAAAAAAAACTCTGAATTAAGATCTTGGGTCTGAGCTATTGGGGTGGTCGGAGAAGAATAGCTTCCGGACTGGAATTGGCTTACAATTGGTGACGAAGGAGACTGTTACATTTCGTCAACGGCAAGGTTTCAACGAAAGTAAATATTTCTGGTAAAGTGTGAAATTTTCTATGGAGTTTTCCAATTTATTAGTCTAAAATATAGATGACCACTTCATAGCCACGCTTTGTCAATCCTTTGAAAAATTTTGGTACAACGGACTTTAACGGCTGGCGCAAAAAGAGCTTTCTGTGGTCAACATTGGTCTAAAATCAAACACCGGAGTATACACTCCGTCACTCTGTTACCTATATATCGTCACCTAAGGGTGAAAAGGTTCCAAGTCCATTTAATTAAATTGTTTAGGAGAGACGAACAATCGATGTGGTTTCGTATTACCTGGCATTCTGCATCAAAAACTAAATTTTGAAAAAAAATGAACTTGGCACGTACATATGTACTAAATATGCAAATAAGTACGTAATGTAATGAGTTCGCCGCTTTATATGATAATTAGCTGTTTATTGCTAACTGTTACAATTTCATTATCTCAATAATTAGGTAATGTATATAAGAGAAATGTGCAACAATGTAAATTTTCTTAAGTCATTTTACTACGCTTACATACATACATACATACATATATAGATACTACTTACGACGTATTGATTTTCATTTCAGAGTGCGAGATCAGCGCGTTTATCGATTGGGCTTGCGTTGTACGGCCGTTTGGCTTGTGGCCGTCTTCTGTTGGATCAACGATCGTATGTTCTGCGATGCATGGTCAGCAATTAATTTTCCGTATCTGCATGGTTTCTGGCATGTTTTCATATTTATCGCCGCTTATACCGTTTTGGTTCTATATGCGTACTTCTACGTCGAAACCGAGCTGCCACAACGACAACCGCTGCTAAAATATTGGCCTAAAAATGATTTCGAATTTGGCATACCATTCATCTGTATACGAAATCCGGGCATGACCATCAAGAGTGCTATATAAAATATTATAATTGTATATGTACACGCATACATATGTTTTTACGTATGTAATGTATGTATCTCAATGTACACATGTACAGGTGCACAAGAGATAAGAAGAGTCACATATAGAAAAGACAAATTATTTAGTATTTCAAATTTACAACGTTTTTATTAGTACAAGTGCGGTAGAATATATGACAAAATAGTTTATAAGCAGTAGTATATACATACATACATCGTATTAGCGAAACAGATTTATAATTGATGCTTAGAGAGATGCAAAATATGTACTTTGTGATGCCAAATATTAATATGTACATTTAAGCAGTTATAATTGCATAGCCTCGATGTATATACAAAATATTGACCTCTCTATCGTCCTTATCATTACAAAGGGCCTAAAGTGGTAATTTCGTAAACAATTTTAAAATTGAAATTAAATTAAGTTGATATTTAATTAGTGGAAGCCTTGCCAGTCCACCCTTTAAAAAAATATGCCAAAAAGCTGCAACTAACCCTAAGTATGGCTACGGTGACCATCCGTTTTTCAAAGGTCGATCCTGCGTACTTTTTCAAACCTGAAAACCTGAAAATGTACTGATTTTTTCCAAGTGTCCTGCATTTGGCCCGCATTTTATTCGTTATTTTAAAATTATCGGACAATGGATGAATTTTTTCAAAAAAGTGTTTTTTGGTACTTTTCGTACTTTTTCTTCAATATCTCATGAAAAAATCTCCCAATCAGCGTAAGCGACTAACAGCTCGAAGGGTATTGATGTGCCTCTTACCAAAATATATAACTTGTGGCGACTTCAATGAAAATTATTAGTGCTACAGGCGACCCATTTGCATTTTGTCGTCAAAGTCGAAAAAAGTGAGATTTTCAACCAAATACGCACGCAGTTTCATTTGATTATTATTTTTTCATTATTTTAAAAAATCGATAAAGAAGATATATCATTACAGTAAATTTTGAGCCAAATATAATCGAATTAGAAATGTAGATGTTATGGAGCGCAATCTGCACAAATTATATATTTTTGTAAAGGGGACTTTGTAACTCGTCGTTTTTACGTCGATTCATGACGTCGATTTTTGACAAATAACTGCGAAAAGTACCAAAAAACAAAAAAAAGGTATTGTTTTCGTTTTGAACGACTCGAAATTTGCCTATAAAATGATCGTTTAAAGATTTTCACTTTTCGTGTAAGCTATTGTAATTATAATATACTTTACTATACTTTTATAAATATTCATATAAAAAAAGATTAATATCGACTAAGAAAACGTGATTCATTTTTAAAGTTTAAAATGTGTTAAGAATTTAGAATCATAAATACTCTTTTGGTATTTTTATTCTACGTAAATATATGTAGGCATATTTTTCGAAAATTTTCCTTCATATTGTATCCATATTTATGGTCACCGTAAGTATGGCTGACTTCCAAAACATACCAATACAATGAGGTTGTTTACGCTTGCCTGGTTATGTGGCAAGTGTGAACGACCTAAATGTTTGGATACTGTTTTACCGCGGTATTTAAACTGTTTGTATATCGTCGGTGATACTGCAAAACGTTCTAAGTCACTTATTACCTCTGGTGATTAATTGATCTGTTATCTGTATCTGATCGCTTCTGACAACCGTTCATCTTCATCAGCCAAAGGTAGACAGTTTTGTCATTCGTTTATTAGGGTGTAACGATTTACAGATGTATTCTGGTGCACATAACTGGTGTCCCTAAATTGGAGCGCTAAGCGTTGCGTTTGCGATTGTCAAGGAGTGTCACCGCGCGCTATCCCCATAACAACGCGGCGCAATTTTGACGCTTTCTCATTTCCTCTCGTTTTTATTCTCGTTTATTTTTTCAATTGTTTGTCCTTTCTCTTTCTTTCCGTCTTCTGCACCCAACTTCAACCAGTAACGCCCTGTCAAAAATGAAAATTCCATTTCCTCGGCGCTAGCGCCGCGTTATTGCGGGATGCTTCATACAAATTGTACGGGCATGAGGATTTTTGACAGTGGTTTGAATCGCCAATTTAAGGACGCCAGTAAAAGACCATCTAAGTGTCAAGGGTACTAATAGACATAGACCGTGTTGCAGTATCACCGACCATATGCAGAGTTGTGAAACATTGCAACCATAAACATCCCTGTGGGGAATTTCGTAGTCGACTACCAAATAGCCAGCTTTTGACCAACTTATTATGTTATTCAAAGTCATGCAGGGCTCAATCGATAGGGTATGTATGTATGCATGTTAATAGCACAACTTTAGAGGTCTTAATACATGCAGGTAATAGTTAACCTAAAATAAGTATATCAACCGAGAGTACCAAAAAAATTTTATTAATTGGGACACTTCAGTTGAACTTAACCTAACCTAGCTGAAAACAAACTGACTATTTTGCGACATCATGCGAAAGTAGTCCGTTGAAAGCAGCGTAAAGTAGGCATAGTCACCCCTAGTGGAAAAATAGTGAACTTATAGTGCATTTATAGTTAGTTGAGTTCCCTACAGGGATTGCATTTTTGAATATTTAATATAACATTGAACATCCTTTTGGAATTTTCCATTAGGTTTGTTCCATACGCTTTCCCGGCTGTTTCGGTATTTAGAGCGTAATAAGTTATTCTCTCATAAGTCCCAAAAATGTGTCAACACATGCCAAAAGTGCCCAGTGCGTGAGGAACGCAAAAACCACATTTCGTGTCCGGAATCAACAAATCAGCTCTAAACAATGATGAACTTTTTGCACATTTCTGCCCGGAAAAAAGTTCGGGCTGTTTCGGATACGAAGAAGAAGACATTTATGTTCCAAAAGTGGAAGGTATTCGCTCTCTATTACCCAGTTTTCTAGCGTGAGGAACGCTTTCTGGGCTGCTTTGGGCACCGGCGGGATCCCGCGGGTTCGTGTGGAACAAACCTATTTTCACAACACCAATAGCAACCAAAAACAAACGAAGCATCAACTTTGTTAGTGATGCGCTGATTGCTACAGCGATACGTTTCGATAACTTTTCGAATGCGTTTTGCATGAGAATACATTGTCAACCATTTGTAGTTCGGCGTTATGGAACATTAAACTTAGTACGTATGCAATTGACGTTTTGGAAGTCAGCCTATCAACTTAACTTTAACTATGAATACGCCCCATATTCTTTAAGATATTGCTCTGAATTTCAGTGCAGTGGTGTTTCTGAGAGTAAGCATATTAAAGGTGAAAGTGTGCCAAGTCCATTTTTTTGAAATTGTTCAGAAGAGACGAAAAATCGATGTAGTTGCGCATTATCTGTCATTCTGCATCAAAAACCAAATTTTGAAAAAAAGGTGGACTTGTCACCTTTCCCCTTTAGGTAGCGATATTTTACTTAGGGCCTTCTGCAATGATTTGGTGATATGCACTTCGAACACTTTCCAGTAGCAACAGTTAATGGCTAGTAAATAAGCGTTCCCAGGACGTAGCCGGATATAGCCAGATTTTACGCTGGTCAAGGATCACTTCAGCAGAAATTGAAAACACTTTTGAGACTGGCACTACAACAATTAGTAAATGAGTTGGTGATAGAACATACAAATCGTCACCTGAAATTCCAAAGGGGCAACTAACATCGTCACCTGAACTGCAAAAAGCCATAACTAACAAATTTGTTGTTGCATAAAACGATGTGGGGACTTCTAATTCGATGAAATGCATCTTCATTAAGAAAATTGAATTTTGATTTTTTTTAGTTACGGCCTTTTGTAATTCAGGTGACAAAGTGGGTTACACGTTTTTGCATTTCAGGTGACGATATGTACATATGTATATACATTAGGGTGCATCACGCTCCATACAAAAAACAAAAATCGGTACTCCATCGGAATTATAAAATGTTTTAAAACTTCCGGCAATAAATGAATATCGGAAAAACATTAAGTTACGTAAGGCTGGACCGATTTAGAAATACTTCCAAAAATCGAGTTTTTTAATAACTAAAGTCAATTTTTCCGAAAAATCACCTTAAATGATAGAAGATTTTAAGCTTAAATAGTCTACATAAAAATGTCTGAAAATTGTATCAACAGAATCAAAATAATACGCTCACATACCTAATATTTTTCCGCAAGTCTAAAAATATATAATAAATTTTATAATTCCAGTGGGAACACCGCAACTTTTTTTGGTGAGGCACCATAATGCACATATTATTGGTAAGGACCTGACTGCTGAGTACTTCGCAGACGATAACCTAAAAAACTCACCTCTGATCAAATTGTAAATCTAGAAATATTTATGAGTCCATAATTTGTGTTCAGCTATGTGCATTACCGACTCAGATACCCAAGGGTATGAGTCGATCGGTTGTGAGTATTACTGTCACTAGCGAAGTTAATATCTACATTTCATATATATATCTTTTTTCTTATTACTCGTTCCCTACCTGATACCAAGTTAAAATTGTTTTTAAATTTTTTTAAATATTGTTCATGCAATTTTTTTTTAATTTTTATGCGAACGGTCCTGGTCATTTTTTCCACCAGAAATTCATGTTTATACCACAAATAGTGCATAAATCCGTCAGCAAAAAAAAAAAAGATTAAGCAATACGATTTTTAGCCGCTTCAAACATAACTTATTTTGCTCGAATTTCATGAGCTATATGTATATCTAAATACATAGCTGCATATCAGAAACTTTTCTAAAAATTCAGATTACAAAGTTCAAAATTTTAATAAATTTTGTATAATGTTTGATTTATATGGTTTTGGTTTGAGCAAGAACAATATTAAAAAAAAAACTTTAACTTGGAAAACATTGTGAATATGCATTAAAAAAAAAAACACCATGCACTCCGTTTTGATCGCCAATGTATGTTTTGACAATTTTTCGCTGAGTAACTAAATCGACTTTTTCTTGTCATCTTTATAGTACCCAATTTACAATAACTATTTTTTTTTCATAAAGTGTAAAATATCTTTAACGACGATTAACATCCGAGTATAATTATCTGCTAAAAAAATTCTCTGTACATTTGTGCGAAAACTCCAAGACGAACATCACTAATGCGAGGAAAGCGTAGGCCAAACACTACTTCACTTAATTACCCGGCATAAAATCTGAAATTGTTTCTAACGGACATGTGTTCTGGAGGGCATCACTATAGAAGGTCATACTACATTAGGGGTATTCTGGAAGTCTTGGACAGTTGCTAAAGATTTCCGATAGGAAAAGCGGTTTATACCGTGCAAGACTTCCAGAATACCCATATTATTTTAAGCATTGCTTGTAATGCATAATTCATACTCGTATAACGCGTTGATACGCAATGTCAAAAAAAAAATATCACTTCCCTACATATTATAGCGTATGCAAAGCACGTAGAATCTTTAAACTTATTTTGATTCCTATTTTCTGCTCTCTTATCGTTAACATAGACTGCAAAGCCAAAGACATAGTTTAAGATCTTCTAGAAGGAAACGTGTTTTTCATTTGGGGGATAATCGTGTTGGGTAGTACTTACTAAATATGTACATGTAATTGGTAAATGCTCAAAATATATTTTATGACATTTATGAAGATAATTGATTGTTAAAATTATTACATACAAATGTAGTTATTCATAAGAAAGGCCAAGATTCAAACAATTGAAC